ATATATATATATATATATATATATATATATATATATATATATATATAGAGAGAGAGAGAGAGAGAGAGAGAGACAGCCTCTTAGGGCTTGTGTTTCTTTAGATGCAAAGTAACAGATTTACCTCAAACTGCATGCCTTCAAAAATGACTAGGATATTTTGATAAACTTTTCAGGTCTTACAAAAATAGAGATACATTTCATTCTTCACAGGACTGCCTTCTTCACAGGTTTTGCAAGATGTGTACTGTCCATGATCGGTGTAATACCGGCCAGAATTTTAAGTCAGTTCTGCTGGATTACGTGCAATAATAAACAGTTATCTGCTCACTTTATTTAGTGTGTATTTTTAGAGTCAAAGACCGGGGAGGGTGTGTTTAGGACATGGTAACGTGGCTTCCTTATCTCATTTGTTAAAGGAATGCTTCGGATTGTGTGGCCCAGAATTTGACTTATAACACCTGACTTCGTTCCCTTACATCTGTGTGAAAAATTCATGGCTTTTTTAAGGAATGCTTTTTCAAAACACGTGTCAATTCTGGCTTTTAAAAACTTTGATGTCAGCAGCCCAGCTCCCATTTAGAACCCTACAATAAAAAAACCCATGCATGCTGCCCACTGCTCACGAGAGACCCCACAACACTGTAACAAATCAGCGCACACAAGTCAGCATTATGGCGGAGACCCTACAATAACAAAGCAGAGCATGCTCCCCACTGCTTATGAGTGACCCCACAACACTGTAACAAATAAGAGTACAACATTTCAGCACTCAGGGAAGAGACCCTTCAATAAATAACAAGCTAGTGTGTGCAGATCTTTGCTCATGAGCAACCTACAGTAATCAATTTATGAACACCTACAGGTACAGTAGAGGGGAAGTCATTGTACTTATGGAACCGATTTTAATTTCAAGGAAGAACTTTTAAAAAAGTGGGCAACTTTGAGTACAGCCCAGAACGGCAATGTCACTCGAAGGGCTGGGGACTGGGGTGGATGGCCTGGGAGCACTACAGAGGCAGCCTACACTGCCCATTGGCCCGCATACACCCCTCAGTTTCCCCTGCAGTGTTATTCACTGGCTCCAGAACACTCGCTGCCTTCCTCAGCTGAAGGGTTGGTTCAGCCTAACGCGGGTTGTTGGTTTGGGAGGGGGACAGTTTGGGAGAAATAAAGGAGACTCTCATCCCCATCAAGACATATCTGAAAGCTGTGAGACGATATGCATGTTACTGCAAGGGAAAGATTCCAAACCTAATACCCCGCAGAGATTCCAGCCCAGAAATACCAGCTCCAGTATAGAATGGAGAAGCTGTAAAATAACTCTCGGGCAGAAAGTGATCATGCCAACCAAAGGCAGCAGTTGTCTTCCTATTCCATTATATTTGGAGCGCTAGAACCCTCTGCTGGAAAAGTGATTCCATTACACACTAAAGTGCGATACACACAGACCAAGAATGTACACTGAGACGAGAGCAGGGTGTGAATATGGCTTTGGGCGTGGTTTCGCTATACAGAATTCTAATGGAAATCGTGAGGTCATAGCTAATGGGAACTGATCCTGGTAAGAGTGGGTGAGTGGGATTAAAACCCTACGGCCAGATTTTGAACAGTGCTCAGCATACAGCAGCTCCCATCATTCTCAGATGGGGGACGGAGACCTGGGCACTTTTGAAAACCTAGCCATCAGCGTCTATGCCTAGTCAAGGTGACAGATGATAGTGCAGCCTCTTCACAATCAGCAGCCCTGGGAGGAGGCTGTGAGCTGGCACCTTTGCAGACTTCATACCTGGGCTCTGGTGCCTCGCCTCTCGCAGATGATTTCACTAGCCCCTCCTGCTGCCTTTTCTGGATTCCTTACAAGTCCTGGCTATACACATAATGTGCACAATGGGAGAACAAGTTATCTGCTCTCTAAATCCTGGCCACTTGTTGCTAGTCTTATGCATCCATGCATAGAGACGCACCCATGTGCACATGCATATGTTTCGACAGCCGTGTCACCATTGAAAAGTCAGCCTTTACCAACAACTGCCACACAGTGAGATGTGATATAGCTCAGTGTTCTCCTACGTTTAGAATGAGAACTACAGTAGTGACTAGAATAAGAATAGAGCCAGTAAACATAATTGGAACACTCATATACTGTGGTTTGGAAATGCAATAAAGTTCAACTTTACAGTGATGAGCACAGGACATTCACTCATAGATGCAAACCTGTCCTGTACATTGAGACACACAGACAATGGGTATACAGACACACCATTGTACAAATATGTCACACACACACACACACACACACACACACACACACACACACACACACACACACACACACACACACACACA